AATTAACATTTGCCCCTCTTCTTAGAGTTTTTAAAATAACTAACTAGCAATCTAAATAAGAAAAATGTTGGTATGAAAAGGCCTAGATGCCTTTAGAGAAGTTATAGAAGATAAATAAAACATTTGACCGTTCGATCATTGATCTATTGCACCTGTGAATTTTGGTGTTTTTTGTTTATAGACTATTGAAATCTTTTGTACAAACTTGCACTTTACATATTTTTGTACAAATTAGCGTTCCCTTTTTTCTTTTTGCAGGGAACGGAGGTGGACATTCTTTTGGCAAAGGTTTCAGGTTCACACTTAATCGCTAGGTGGTCTATGGATCTGGATGTAATTTTTATTATTTCTGGTATTCGTTGTACTGCCATGATTGAAGATGAATAGATCGGAAATTTTCTCGCAAAAAAAAAAACAATGTGCGTCTACAAAGAAAAAAAAGGGAAATATTGTTATGACTTTGGACTTGAGTGGGTTATTAATTAGTTTCAGTAAAAATAAAACGCCCAGGTGCACGCATCGTACATCTCCACCAAATATAATATACAACTATCAAAAAAGGCAATGCACCTAGCTTTCCCCCGATGAAATCAGCAATTGTTCTCCATGCATCTCATTCCAATCAATTTAAACTACATACTTTGCGCTGGCTACAAGTTCCATTCTGGGAGTGGATGGGCCCACACCTAGCTAAGCATGCAAAAGAATCTCTTTCTCCGTCGTTGCTTTAATTAGTTTGGCCTTTAGTACTACTGCTTTGCTTTGCTTAGCCCTCTCTGATTCCATTGCCATCGATCGATCCTTTTCAACTATAGCTAATGATGCACAGAATACGAACCTTTTTGTTCTGTTTTCTTTTCTCTCATCGGGGACAACTAGAGGACAAAGTGAGGACACAACGGTCGACGGGGGCCGTCCGATCAGATATGAAACTACATCGAGTGGTGGAGGAACAACATCGTGTAAAATGGAAAGCCGTACATTATCGTTTGCAAATTAAAGGGCATGACAACGATCTCAGTTGCGCCATGTGGCTACACTTGGCTCGTCGAAATCAGCTTGACCTAGATTTACTTCCGAAAAAGGATTTTGCTACCTTGTCATTTTGGAAATTTGTATGGGCTCCATATAAGTTTGGAACTGTTTCCTGCCTTAGCAGCCACAGATATTCCACACCGTTGACACGACTACACTCAACAATTGTAGGGTCTCTCTCACAGGTTGAAGAGCAAAGAACAAAAGACGAGCCTACCACACCCTTTTTACAGGATTTCACATTTGTTGAAGGGGCACAACCGGAGGATTTGCAAAGATAAACACCTCACGTCGATCGGTCTAGCATGTCCAATTGGAGAGGATGTTGCCCTCATGCAAGAGGCATTTTTCTATAGCGTCCCCTTTTAAAATCTTTGTGCTGAGTTCTTTTCCTCTTTGTTGAGTTCTTTCAACTTCCTCATCCTCAACGAAAAAGCAGAGCACCTGTTGTATTTGTAAAGAAAAGTTATTCTTACAATTACCTGGCCATATAACTAGTCAATTATTTTGCGTTTTGTAGGGAATAATATTTGTTCTATAAAATAGAGAGGATGTTGGCCTCCTGCGAGAGGCAGTTGGATGAGAGGGCCCCTTTGAAACTTTGTGTTGAGTGTTTACCCTCTTTGTAGAGTTCCTTCCCTTGATCGTAGTTGTGATCATCGATTGTAATTTTCCCCATCTTAGTGAAAAAGCAGCGCACCTGCCGTGTTCATCAAAATAGTATGTACTACATTTTCTCCATAAATAGTATATCATCCAATTACCTAGCCTTATAACTAGTTAATTGCTTTATGTTCTATAGAAAATATTATTCATTTAATTTTATTAGAAGGGGGTTGGTATCAAAATCGTCACTCTCAGATAAAAGTTTGTACTTTTTTGAGTTAATTAGGGACCTAGTAATAGTTTTCATGTGAATAAGGAAAAAACAAGATATTTATGTTTGCTTTAAAGGCATGGGCATTTGGCTTGAAGTAGAAGCTGCACTAGAATAATTTGATCCAATGGGGAAAATGCTAGAGATAGAAGAAGAGGACACGACTATGCACACATATCCAAGAGAACTAAATGGCATCTATAAGCATGAGAACAGTACCACTTGGAGGGAATTAAGAGGAGGACGAGAAAAGAGAATGATTAAATAATTAAAACAATTTGGTGACCATGCACCCTGCTACATGCACATATATTCTATTCCATATGAATGGAAAGCAGCCAGAAAGAGAGAA